TGTCTACTTTTAATGTTTTTATGAAGTATTTGTACTTCTGCAGCCGTATAACTTATGAAAGTTGACTGTATTGCGGGAAGTGATTTAAACCTGGATTTTGAAAAGGAGGCGCTCGTTCTGATCCTAACATTAGCTAAATACCAGCAGTTTTCAGCTCGGATCCGGATAGTTTCACGAGGTCAATTTCTTTCATGTCGCACTTTCCATTTCTACATTTTTTAGGGAAGTTACACACGCCATGCGTTATGTGACACATGTACAGTTTTGTACATATAGCCTAAAGAGGACTCTGCTGATCTAATAATTTTCAAGTACCTCATCAATAAGATAGCTTTGCGTCAGTTCCACAGGCTAGATGAGGCATCACGTCTCAAATGCTAACTTGACTTTGACCTTCGCTGGTAGACCAGCTAGACATGTCCATCATTTCCTGCCGTGTTTTTTTTTCTGTTACCATAAAATAAGTGTGCGCGATAATCTCTAGGAAAAGTATGGTGCATGGAGGATAGATACATTGACCTAAATGTTTAACTCTACTGGAAACTCCGTGCATGGTCTTTTCGTGTACTGTCTTGATTTGAACTTCAGCATTGCCCATTGAGTACAAAGTTAGCGCATTTCTTCATCCCCGTAGAGGCCTACTAATTGCGAACCAAATCATTGAAATCTAACATTGGGGGTGTTCAGAAGAAGAGATAACAATGATAACAAAGAATTCAAACCTTGTTTACCTACTTGTCATTTTAAATTCGAATTCCTAAATGTAACGATGATTATAATCGAGGAAAGTTATTTTCTTTTTTGGATATTCTTACTGATTGTCTTCATCACCCCGTGACAGGAAGTGCCCAGGTGATGTGACTTCCAATGGTTTGTCGCACAGAAACGAGTCACTGCATTACACTTCACAGGTATGGGTCCTTCACCCCGCCCTACAGACTCGCTGTAGGAAAAGGGTAAGTCTCCATAATTTTTACCAGACCAGAGGGCTGCTCTCTCAGAGAGAGACGACTGGTGGTCGTTTAACCGGAGGCTTAGCACGCTTCAGGCGAGGGAGATATAAAAGAGTTCATGGTATAGACTCGCTATACAGGTAAAAAGGGCAAAAGATCATTAAGGAGACCAGTTGACGCAATGTTTCAACGGATCACAACGATGGGAACTTCAAAGGGCAGTTCTAAAAGCTAGCATTCATTCTGCTTTTAAGATATTTGTGTCCACTGCACTCCAACTGGTCAACATGAATTATGCAGACCCTGTACAGCTGCACTTGTGCATTCAAGCGCTAGCTCCAAGACGTGCTACAGCATCATCAAGTGGCATTAGCACAAGCAGGTAGTGGCTGCTACTCACTAACCAATATAGCCCCAGTGCTGTTGGTGTCATTGTTCCCTCGGCCATTGTGCCTCTGGCCAGAAACTTTTTACGTAATGCCATTAAACAGTAGGGTTTCCTCAATTTTGTAACGATTTCTTTTCCCCTGAATATTGCAATGCAACTTTTAAACTCAACAGATTTTTAAAATAACTTCATTGATGGTTGCCTCGAAACAAATATTGAGGAAAAGAAAACATTTATTATTTTGAAAGCCGTGGAATTGTGGCATGGTAACCGATATGATAATGATAACCAATAAAGCCTGCTAACTTCTGATCTGGCAGGATCTATGGAGAGAGATACACAGTGGATGTTTTGCAATCGAACATGACTCTTTCTCGGAAAAGAAACTTCATTCAACTCAAAACGTTAACTCTGTTTCTCTTCCACAGATGCTGCCAGACCTGCTAAGTTTTGTTTTTACATTCCCAGCATCCTTCAATAACTACACTTGGGTGCTTGATTTTTCTTTTGCCAATCCTAATTTTGGTCGAAAGACGGATTGAAACAAGATGCCCCGGTCTAAGCGTTTGCCCATACTTGTGCAATGAATCCAAATGTTGTTAGGGTAACCCGAAGAGATCCAGACGTGAAGCCTTTTGACAGCTCTTCCCTTTCTTTCCTTCAGGACTTTTCTATTGTCCTTTACAGTTAGTCTTTTAACAGAATGGCCGTTCACTTGGGGAATACCAGAATCCTCCAGAACCAAACACTATATTTGCCTTTCCGTGTTCACAAATGTCTACAGGAAACTTACATTAATCAAATACAAACAAAAATAGCTGAAGAAACTTAACAGGTGTGGCAGGATCTACTGGAGAGGAAACAGAGTTAATTTTTCCAGTCCAGAGACCCTTTATTAATCCCCTCCCTACATCTGTCTCCTGTTTGAATACGCTGCTTAAAACCCTTTGATTTTTCTGATCACCTATCCTATTGTCTCTATCTTTAGCTTGGTGTCAAGTTCTATCAATAATCACCCTTTCTAGAAGCAGCTTGGAGAATTTTAGTACGTTGACGGCGCGAGATAAATGCAAGTTGTTGTTGACTGATATATTTGTGAAACACCAAATAAATTTAAACAAGTAATTGATTTTAAAGTACAGAAACGCCAACAATTTGTAAATGGGAAAATAGCAATATTCCTTGCTGAGTGCGCGTCGATAATTTAAGCCCACTGGACCATAGCTTTTTTTTGTGTGTGTTGAATTTGAAGCGGCCCATTGGCGAAACGGATTCATTGCAATGGATCAGAAACCCGGTAGACAGCCGAAACTGTAGCCATGATAGTTGCAGGTAATTGAATCGTTGTTTCTAGCCCCGATGAAGAGGCTGTGCTGTAGTTACCAGTTCCTGCTCTTTGATCTGATCACAGACTCGTGAGCACTTTATTGTTGTACAGAGATGGCTCTCTTGCGCCGCTGTTAGAAGGAGCTGGTCATTACCGCGAGTTGCGCTCGACTTTTCACACACAACACAAAAAAAAGAGGACAGAGTGGGGGCACTCGTACCAAGCACTTGGTGTGCCAGCGAGTAACAAGGTGCTTTCAACAGATCTAACCGCACCGAGAAAAGTGCATATACACCACCCATGAGCAGGCAAGTGCCGCGCAATCTTTCACTATGAAATAAATGAGATGTGTACATATTTACTGCAGAACGTGTCCCATTTAGCCAGTGAAGTTTATAACACGTCCGATCGCAGGTAGAAGGTGTTAATTATAAGGGTGACTAAACTGGAGAGAGGGGCGAGATTAATGCGAGGCCATTCAAAAAAGGCCCAGGCGAATATTGGTATTTGTTGAAGAGTGAGAATTTAGGATAACAAATTAACCCACTAATCACTGGCATCTTTTGCGCAATGGTTTCCCTAAAATTCCTTCAGTTCCCGGGACTCCGAAAATAAATCCCCCAGAATAAATGGTTGGAAAAGCAAAGAGAGAGCGAGAACTGGAGAGGAGGGAGCGCTGACTGAGTTGTTTGGAATGTGGAGTCTTTTGTTCATTCCAAAGGAATTAGTCCCCGGAATATCTGCGTTTTAAAGGTTGCGAGTCTGTGTGAAAGTTTGAAGATGATGGATATCCAAGCGACCTTACACATCACGTAAAAGCCTCCAGCACTTTCATTAATTGAAACACATTCCAAATCGTTATTCTCGCCAGCCGTAATTAGAGCAGAACTGATAGCTGTGAGTGAGAGCGCAAACTTTGGTGAATCAGAGCCGAAAGGCTGCTTTTTTTTTCCGGTGTAAATTGTTAGTTACACAAGTCCCCAATTTCCATTTGTTAATTGATGCAATTACGTCCTGCTCGTATTGGGCACGCCGTTCTCCAGGCAGCCATCAATCAGACCGCATTGACCTGTCAAAGCGAGGTATTCGTCTCTTTGGGGACCATTCTGGCTCTAATGGAGAAAAATGGATAGATCATCATCATTAATTAGTGACTGGTCCTTTGGCCAAGGATCAGACGGGTTGAGAGAGAACGCTGTGTTCTAGGACACCCACAAAACCCCCGTTTCCTTCTTTTCGATTATTAACTGTCGACTGTTGGAAGAGGTTCAGCAATTTGTCTCTCCCGAGTAGCCTCCCTGGCCAGTTCCGCGTCAGTTTGTACTTTAATTTATTGCATCTTCCGCTCTCGTTTTCATTTCGTTTGACGTCGTTAGGATTTTGCCTCAGTTCGGTGTGCGGGGTGAGGTGGGGTTGGGGTGGGGGGGTGGTGGGAAACTACTGTGGGAGCGGAGGGGGAGGATGCGTTGGGATGATTTTCACCACCATTTAAGGCGAAAACGGTCAACATTATGACCCCGCGAGAAACAGTGTGGCCCACTTCATATTCATCCCCCTTCAAACTAATACTGAGTAAATTGAGAGAGTTGTGACTCCTCTGATTGCTTTAAAAGAATGGGTTGGAGAGTAATTAGGAAACTTAGTGATGAAACGGCACTGAAAGTGCTCAATTTGAACGTCTCCATATGATTTGTCTGTGCTGAAAGGTGTTTTAAGGAGCCCCATTGCAGTGAAGTTGAAGTCATAGGTGCTCCTGTATGTTCAGCTAGACACCAGGGGCCTCGGTTAAAAAAAAAGGACACCAGCGCAAAATGCAACCCTTGAAGACTGTCACAACCTTTCAAATTCACCAAGATTCCCTCAATACGGTGAGCTTCGGGATATTTTGCAATGTTTACAAATAAGACCTCCAAGTACCTGAGCAGCCGTCGGTACACATCAGAAATCAAGGTAGAGCATTAGAAACAAGTGTTGAATGCATCTAGGAATATTCCATGTTGCAGATGATTGGCAAAGATACCGTTCTATTCATACTGTCCTGTCGGTTCGGGATTAATGTGACGTCACTCTGATACCCTTCCCTGGATGAGGAAAGGAAGGAGAGTGGCAAATTATAACCAGCAGTAGCCTATAGAGCAGGCTGCACTTCCGTCCGGGCTTTATTTTTTAACCCTCTTCGGCTAGATTTCATCCATAACCATGCCTTAAATTGAACACCGGTTAAGCTTTGAACTGCCAGTGTACGGAGCCTTAAGATTTTAAAAGTGGGATCATTGCTAATGAAGCCAAAGGCCATGTATGTAAATATCTCGGGAAGAAGACGCATCCCGAACTAAGGTTTGCTCCCCAATCTATCAGGAAGAAATCTTTTCCTATGGTGGCACAGGGAGCAGTGATGTCGTTCTCTCAATTTGGATATCCATACAACACGGCGTCCCAGGTAGGAATGGACACCCTATACATGCAGTGAGTCTTCAGTCTGGGCTGCCCTGTATTCTTTAGCACGTTGGTGTTTTTTTTGTGGGGGTTGGGTACTGTTTCAGTTGATAATACCCGATACTAACCCCCTTCCTTCTTTCATACAGCCGAAATTTTCACACTTCATTCTTTTTCATGTTCGTATTAGCGAATGTGCTTTTTTTCTTCTCCATACTTAGAACATTTTCTGCAAAGGAACGTTATTATTAACTTTTTGGGTGTTAATTCCATACTCCAATAAGTTCCACCATCCCTGTACTGTAAAGTTACTTTTAGGATTTATAATTGTGTGGCCATGTTGAAACTTGCGCATTTGCCCTGCACCGATAGTATTGGGGACACAGCTTCCTCCAGGTGCTTATCTCTGCGCTCAACATTTCTTGTTAGTTTGATTGCGTTTTGCACTTTGCAGTTTATTGTAAACTAGCCGTTCCTAGTAACCAGTCCAATTCCCCAAATTGCATTGAATGTGGTCATTTGCCTGTTCGCTCAATCATTATTTCATAGTTCCCATTCTCCTCGCTGTATATAGATTCAAGTGCATGTTCCTTTAAATACTTCCCTCTGCTTCAGCGAGGATGTGAAGGCATTCCACGTTTGGATTCTCTTCTCTCCTGCTTCCTCAATAATTTACACTTTTTTTTATTTTTACAATTCCACTGTATAACGATGCTATGCAAACTCTTTCCTCTTGCTATCCCTTTATTCTGTTGCAATCCCACTTTATGTTGCTTTAATGAATTTAGCTTCAAGGCATACGGACTGCTGCGCCCATCTCTGCATTTCCCTGCACTTTACAATGTTTTGATCTGCTGAAATGACGGTTGGTTGCTGCCTTCGTTATTTCTCTCCGTCCAGTTTTTCGTGTCCGCCAGTCCCGGTACGACGTGCTGCGAAGCCGGCTCCAGACCTGTGACTGAAGGCTCCGCTGGGCCGGCCCAGGCTGCTGTTTGCTGCCCTCCCTATGATAACAGACTGCTGGCCAACGCTAGGACCGAGATTAACGCGGCGGCCGCGGCCCTGGGCATGTACAACAGCTCTCCCTTTGCAACTACAGCCAGCCCGGGCTACGGGAACTACCTTGCGTACAGTACCGACCCTTCAGCCTTGTACTCCTCCCTGGTGAGTAACAACCTTCGGGGTAATCCACCCGCGATTCCTTTACACTGTCTCCTCTCCCCGAGCCACTCGCGTTTGAGCTATGTTTTGTTTTATTTTAAAACAAACTTCTCGGACTATTTTGTATTGTGCTTCTCCCATCCCTTTTACAGAATTCGCAGTATGAAATTAAAGACGGCGCTGGGAGTTTACATTCAGGAATTGCAGCAACAGCTACCTACTATCCGTATGACCACTCCTTGGGGCAGTACCAGTATGACAGGTAAGACCTTTGATCAAGACAAGTAGTAACACTCACACCCTGAGCAACAATCAAAGTGACCTAAGGCAAAGTGTGTTGTATTCTGATGATGATGCGGAGTTAAATACATTTATTGATCAGTGCCTTTGTTCCTTGCCCAATACCTACACACCTTTTTTTTTGTTCCCAACGTTCTACCTTTTGTTTCCAATGCAGCGACCACCGGCTCGATCTCTCTGCTTCTTCTTTTATTCGTTTTCAGGTGCGGCACCATGGACTTTAACAGCAACACGCGGCGTAAAAACGCGACCCGAGAAACCACGAGCACTCTGAAGACTTGGCTACACGAGCACAGGAAGAACCCTTATCCCACCAAAGGCGAAAAGATCATGTTGGCCATCATCACCAAAATGACTCTGACTCAAGTCTCCACTTGGTTCGCGAACGCCAGGAGGAGGCTGAAGAAAGAGAACAAGATGACCTGGTCACCGAGGAACAAAGGGGTGGACGAGAAGAAAGAGGACTGCGAGAAAAAGGACGGGGACGAATATAGTGCGGAGAGCGTGGCGAAAGGTGGGATATCACTCACATTTGCAAAGGCACTGTCATGCACTGTTTGAGCAAGATCTGAAACTCCCTTGAGCTGGTTGACTGTCTGCAGTGGATGCAATTATATTGTTAAACAGCCGGAGGGCAAACATACTGGGCCAGACATAGAAAGTTTGAATGGGTTTAGAAATCTAACGGAGAATACGAGCACATTGTCCGAGTATGAAGGAGCTTGACATCTTGTAGATGCCAGTCATGATGACCCACTGTAGATCCCATAGTAAGGTTGATTCAGATTTGTTCTCACGGTCGTATTCGAAAGAGAAACTTCAACAGTTCGATAGTTAAAAAATGTTTCAGTATTACAGAGGTCAATACTAATCTCTTTGAATATGTACACACAGCTGAGAAAGAATACAGAGATGACAAAGAGTTGAGACTGAGTGATCTGGACGATTTCGACGACGATGAATCGGGGAAAATGGACCAAGACAAGGCGCCATGTGGCATCAGTGCAAGGCAAGCCCTGGTGGAGACTGAGGGAAGTGACTGCAGCGTTTCGCCTCCAGGCAATCCGCACACTTTCTCCTGCTCGAAGGGTGATTCCAGCCTTGCACCCCACTTTCTAGAAACCAACAGCAATAAGCCACCTGTTTCTACGGCAAGCACCAGTCTCCAGCAGCGCTTTGGGACAGCAGAGAAGCCGAGGATTTGGTCTCTGGCGCATACAGCAGCCTCCAATACTCTGGTGGCTTGTGAGAGTGGCCATTCCCGGACAGTTAGGTACTGCGCCGAGGTGAGGCCGAGCCAGGCCACAGTCAACCAAGTCGATGATATCCTTTCTCTCCGAGACTCTTCACATGCAGCCCACATTCTGAGAACTTCTGCATTCAATTTGCAAACGCTTGTGGCCACTGGTCAGCTGCACTGTACTTCCTACCCTGCTCTAGACAACTGCCAGTATACACCAGGGACTGAAGGTACCTCCTGCACATTAGCTGTATCTCCAGTCACATCAGCTGTTGTCTTAACATGCCCAGAATGGCAGCGGGCGAGATAGTGACAACCCAGCTCCCCCTCTTTTTTTTTCCATTCCGTGCTGTGTTATTTTCAAGATGTGTATGAAGGTATCTCTTAATTACACCGAATACTTAGCTTCTAGTCGGCCTGGTGATGATGCTGTATCCTGGCATACGCCATTAATCGCCCCTTAGTAAGAGTTGAGCACCGGTTTCAATCTAAACATGGTGATATTATTTTACTAACTGTGCTTTATTACCTCATACCTCTCGCGTTCCTAACCAGACGCACAGAGCCTCTTGTTCCAGAATGAATGAGTTAGTCAGAAAGCACGCACCTATCTACATTGCTACGTGTGAAATCAGTCATGATTGTGAAAGAAGGATAGGTCACTTCAAGTTGTTTATTCCCGAATAATTAGCGGTGAACATCTTATGAAAAGGGATTGTGTTTTTTCAGGATTTTTGAGACATGCGAAACCTAATGTGGGATCGGCAGAGATGACGGAAGCATGCCCACTGCGCCAAGAGGGGAAGATAAGGAGAGCCTTCAGACCTGTCCTGAAGAGGTGAGGTAGGTGACAGTTCACGGTCCACCCCAACCCTCCCAATCAATTACTTTTGCTGCAGGGACGCGGTTTGGGTCTCTGCACGGATGTGAAGTTCTCTTGTAAAAATCTACTGCAGGATCCATGAAATATTTGACATGCTGGCAGCGCGGCCAGAAGGAGGCCGAAAGCTGGTGAGCTTTACACAAGTTTGAAAGTCGCTTCAAAGTCATCTAGGCGCGAAACGTTAGCTTGCTCCCTCTCCACATGCTGCCCGATCCTTTGCGATTTCCAGCATTTTTCTTTTTGTTTTCAGCACAGATTCCAGCATCTGCAGTAATTTTCCCCTTCAAAATCATTGGCTTTGCTTCATTGGAAAATAAGTGTGACCATCATTGGATGCTTAACAGTGCAATGTAAAACAATGTGGCCATTGTTCCGAATTTCGTTTTCATTTACAATTCTACATATTGACAATTAGCTTGCTGATGTTAGAGGGTTGGGGGGCGCGGGTGTGGAATGGGTAATCAATTTACAAATAGTTTGAGTCATTGACGATTTTGTTTTATCTTTAAACGTGCCGTATTCTCTTTTATTTCCAAAACAGGTTTGTTTAAAACAAGACGCCGTAAACCAAGTGGATGCTGCACAACTCCTTTTATTGTATGCACTAGTGATTGACAATACACTGGAAATGAGACAGGATCCGTTTCTCCCGAGCACTGGAACTGACTTTCAAACCGATTCGCTTCGATTTAACCAGTGGCCAGTGATTCTGATCAAGAGAAAGCAGAAAAGGGTCGCTTCCAACGGTTTTTCCTTGCACGGACTTATTTGTTCTAACTCGGGAAAAAATGTACAAGAATCAGGGGAGGCCATTGGGCTTTTAGACGAAATATACCTTACAATAATAATGAAAGCCCTCCACATCTTGCCGCTTATTGCTTCTGTTTTCGATTTTCTACCGTTTTAATTGGAGCACGCTTTGTTTGCAATTTACTCTTTGGTTGAAAACTATTTTGCGTTTCATACAGATTCTTATGCTGGTTTACATTAGACTTCACCGCCCCACCCCAGCCACTTTATTTAGTTTGTGCTGTGAAATGGGAATAAATTACACTTGTCAAACCCGTGTAATGTGATAATTGTAAAAACTGCGAGTCACGGTGACCTATTTAAGACGAAGGTATGTTTTATGCAATTAAATTAATCATATAAATTGCGGAAGCGTTACATAGATATTTTGTTTTTGTAAGAAATGGTTTGAGTTCAATTTCAGATAACGACTTGGAAGTGTCTCACATTATCGTCGTCCGCTTGAATTGTCCCACTAGAGGTCCAGGACTGTACAATTGCTCAAGATGCTTAAAACTCCCTAGTAACAATTGAAAGGCTTGGGGACATATTTTGCAATTGCGATTTCATTGACCATTTACCATTTTACCCAAGCTAAGAGTCACAGTTTTCAGAGATTTTTAAAAACCATTTTGCAAGGTTACAGAATGTCCTAATTGGCGAAATGCAGAGCGTGTGCTTCAGAAGGTTAAAATCCAAACAATGGGCGTTCATTGTGCACTTTACTTACACGAGAAGCAAAGCGACAACTTTCCCTGTTGTTTGCCACTAATTAGGACTGACAGCACTGCTTGTATACTGTTCGGCGGAATAAAATAGGCAGGGCAGAATTAGGAGAAGAATTCCCCTTTGTCCTGTTACGTAAAGAAAGTTGCAATGTTGTAGGGCTCACGCGTGCATTGATTATAAGATTCTGTGAAGACTGGATTTTGCATTAGTCACTTCGAGGACTCACACAGATCTGCTTTGGAGATTTAAGACCAAAGGGTAAAAAACGAAGACACGCACACACACACACACCTAATCGAAAAAGTATCATGATAACCTGAAGCTGCAGTGAAGACACCCTCTTTGTACAATCTTCTCTTTTGGAATAACAAGATGCAACGTTAAATCTCAAGTTTCAAATGTAAGCACGTCTCCCTCACTTATCCCCAAAAGGCAGGGCGAACTTTCAGAAATTCATTGCAAAAAAAAATCGCTAGTTTCAGGTGGACCTCTTTTGGAGCATTGTTGTAACAAAAGACAAGTTTGGAATTGTGCTATAGACATAAAAATCAGAAATTTCATCAAATGCTATCATTTGTAGAAAACAAAATCCTTACCTACTTTACAGTTAAACAGGGCGTCCAAATCACCAGAGAACGCTGAAAATAAATAATGTAAGATGTTGCAGCATTATGTTTGTCTGGTGCACTCTCTTTGTGCAGCCTTGATGCGTTCGATTCTCTCAAGATTCAGTTTTATTCAAGAAGCTGACATGTAGCGAGCCGTGGCCTAGGGTAGAAATGTGTATCTATCCGTTGCGGAATTAAACCAGATCACAGCCAATGCTTTTAATTTTGTTATCATAGCACCTTCCGTTTTGTGGTCATTGCACTCTCTCAACCCAACGCGCAGAGGGAAAGGCCACAGAGCTAAACGATCAATTTAATGAGACAACACGGTGAATCTTACAGAGCATGGTGCTACAAGCACCAAATTCTGACGCATAGTGTTTGGCAGAAAAAAGTTAATTACACAAAACTATTCCCCTTCCCGCTTTCCTATTAGATGCAGCGATTGAAACAGTGTTTCGGGTTTCTCATATTATCGCACCAATTTCAAGTACCAATGTCAAGACACTGCATCCTATTGTGACACTTCTAGTGTCGAAGCGTTGTTTTTAATCATGGTCTAAATTGCAAAAGTTCACACTTGATTTTTTTTTCCCCTAAAAGTACAATTTTTTTATTGCATATGAGATTCTGTGATTCTTCTGGATTTACTCTCGTCGTTATAATCTTACAATGCACTTAATTAGAACAAAACAAGTCCAGAAACCAGCTCATTCAAGTTAAGGTTGAGTTTTGTTTTACAGCAAAACCAAATCATTATGAATAATTATTAATATTCCATTAAAATCCAAATATAATCATATTCGAGCAAAGACTAATGCTCGCAAATTTGATCAAGATCTGAAAGATTAAATAAACATTATTTTTATTACGTTTCATTTTGAAAGCGCCCGCGTGTTTTCTGTACCTTGGTTACTATATATCCACTGCTGCCCAGCCTAGAGATGTGATATCTTACAACTTGAGATCCACAAAGAATCAGTAACTCTCACGTCTTCCTTTAGTATCAGATGTGAGACTTCTCTGTGCCCGTACACATTTCTATATCATGACAATCTTTTTTTTTGTAGTTTGGGTACACTATTTTTATATATGTATACATTGTTTTTGTTTAAAGGCAGTTATCTTTAAACGAGGTTGTCGAAATGGCACAATATCTGATGCTGGGACTGACCCAGGGATTTCAGGCTGGTAAATTAAGCTGGCAAAAGATAAACATTATTTCAAGTCGGATTTGGAAGGGATTAGTTCATGTAATAAAGAGTATTAGTCTGATTCCGAGGCTTCTTGCAAGTTCTTACGTGGTTTTGACACAGTGGGACGTGTACGGAATAAATATAAGTAAGAACCTGCCCCCTCCTCCCTTTGCTTCCCTTCTCACCCCTTCCCCCCATGTTTGCTGTAGGCTTAAGTTATGTAGAACTTCTCCCAAGAAACTTCCAACAATGCAATTTTTTACACGTTTATTTCTGAAAGTTAAGAAAAAGGATTCTAGTTACAGGTATGCTTAATCTGGTTTGTAGGTCCCAGCACCATCTTTGTTTCTTAGTACAGCGGCAACAGTTCTGCAGAAGCATTGTGTCCCACCTGAGTAAATTGCGGATTCGGATTTGTCCTCCTTCTTGAGAGGCAGTTTCGTTCACCTCCTATTAGCCGGTCGTTCTGTCGATTTTTTTTAACCTCGTTTGCATCCACACTACTTATACATGGTTTTAATTATCAGTTGCACTAAATTATTCGGGGCCAAGTAAAAACTTGTCTCCAGCAACTTCATTCAGCATCAGAATCTCCTACCTCGAAAGTACAGATTTAATTTCAGTTAATGCTCCATTTATACTGTCAAATTCGCGTTAATGTGAATCAGCACGGGCCCCTTATTCGACCATGCAAATTCCAGTTTTAGACGGTTAAGATTGCACTGCAGGCCACCTGTTTATTTTAGGATTCCGATGAAGGTGGACAACATCAACTAACAATAAAAGCTGTTGCAGAGTAACTACAGCGCTCAGCAGAAAGATGTTCCAGGGCATTGTCGCGCTATGGGTTGTATTAAGAACACACGACTTTTATTGAACAATAAATGTGAAATTCGTCATTGCCAGTAGGCCCCACACAAGCTTCCTTGAAAAAGGGTCCCTTTAATTCTGGAACTAGCCTTCAATGTATCTCTAACCTTGCCAAAACAAAACTTCCCTTTTGACTGTTGGTTTTATATTGCATGGTTAAATAGTGTTTGGTCAAACTTCAGAGGGAGCCTTGACCTCCTATGTTGTTTCCAGATTAAAAAATAAAGACACCAGTGTTGCCAACTCTCGCCACATGCATAATTAAGTTTAAAAACCGAGAGGCCTGTAGAAGTGTAAATACCACTGACCCTCGAATGCTGCCCAGAGATTTCCTACTGAGATATCTGTGAATTCCAACAGAAATATCTACCTTTATATTACAAAGTAGCCTGATCCACTCCAAACCCAATCACAATGAAGTGAATTGTAATCTCACAGTACTTAAATTTATCCATAGTTTGATGGACTCTGAATTTGGTTTGAATATGGCAAATAAGATCAGTATTTGAACTTGGGTCTTTCTTCAAGCCAAATAACATGAAAGAAGGCTTTATTAAAGCATTTTAAATCACTACAATTGTTTTGCAGGAATAAAGCAGTAACAAATATCTAGAATAGAATCATAGAATGGCTATAGCATGGAAAGGGGCTCATTGTGTCTGTCTCAGATTCCTGCAGGAGCAATATGGCTAGCTCCACTCCCCAGCCTTTTCCTGTAGCCTTGTAATTTTTATTTCTCTCTTCTCAGGATTTTCTAATTCCGTTTAGAAAGCTTTGATTGAAATTGTCACCATCACACTCTCAGGAAGTGCATTCCAGATTCTAATGATGTACAATGTAAAAATTATTTTCCTTGTGTCATTTCTGTTACTTTTGCCAATGACTCTAAATCAGTGCCCTCTGCTTCTAGACCTTGTTATCAGCTAGAGCATTGTCTCCCTTGCTACCCTCTCCAGATCCCTCTTGATTTTGAACTCTCTGTCAACTCTCTCCTTAACACTTTCTTCTCTAAGGAAGGCAGTTCGAGCTTCTCCAGACTATCCATAACTAATAACTCTCATCTCCAGAAAATTTCTTGAAGACCATTTCTGCACCTTTATGAATGTCTTCACACCCTTCCTAAAGTGTGGTGGTGTACAGAATTTGATGCAATATTCTAATTGATGCTCAGCCAGTGTTTTATAAAGTTCACCATAATGTCCTTGTTTTTGTAATGTGAACTTCCATTCATAAAGTCTACACCGCTGTTCTTTTGCCACACAAACCACTTTCTCACCTGCTGTAATATCTGCAATGGTTTAGACAGATACAATTGTGATCCACCTACTCCTTTAGAATTGTATTCTTTCTGTCATATTGCTTTTTCTAATGTTCCCTGCCAAAAGTATCATATCACAACACTGTGCCTCAAATTTTAAGTTACACATGTCTACTCATTTCTCTGACTTGTCTATATCTCCTTGACTGTTTTTACTATCTTCTTCACAGTTCATAATATTTCCAAGTTTTTGCTATTTGCACATTTTGAGATTTTGCCCTGGACTTCTAAGTCATTAATAAATTCAAGGTATTTTCTTAGAGCAGCACATTTTGAAACTGACCTTTTCAGGACAGATATAAGCAGAACTTTTCTTTTTCAGAGAATTGTGCGACTTTGG